TATTATGTTTATGATAAGTGTCAGGAACTGAGATATGAACACTGTTCACAACTGGGAGATATTTTGCGAATTGTCAAGTGAGTAAAAATTATATCTGTGACAAGTGTTGCGCATTGTGATGCGGACAAATGTCAAACATGTGGCAAAATTCAGGAATGCACAAACATAACAACTGTGGCATGTGTCAGGAACTGCAATAAGAAAATACATAATAACTCTGACAAGAGTCAGGAACTGTGATATGAACAAACCTGACAACTGTAGCAAATGTCAGGAACTGTGTTATGAACAAACATAACAATTGTGGCAAGTATCAAGAACTGTGATATGAACAAACATAACAACTGTGACAAGTGTCAGGAACTGTGATATGAACAAACATAACAATTGTGGCAAGTATCAAGAACTGTGATATGAACAAACATAACAACTGTGACAAGCGTCAGGAACTGTGATATGAACAAACATAACAACTGTGGCAAGTATCAAGAACTGTGATATGAACAAAATCTGATCCAGCAGTTGATTGATACAAGTAACCAAAGTATCTGATCCAGTAGTTGATTGATACAAGTAACCAAAGTATCTGATCCAGTAGTTGATTGATGCAAGTAACCAAAGTATCTGATCCAGTAGTTGAGTTAACACCTTAAGATTTGTTCAACTGATAGTTGGATAGTTGAACAAAAGGCTTGACGAAAATAAAAGATTTGAATTACGTTGTTGAATAAAAAACGAAAAAAAAGATAGTAAAAATGAAAATACTCATATTTCCATAAAAATGACATAGGCCGGAAACGTCGTAAATTAAGTTTTGGAAATATAAATATTTCCATCTTTACTATATTTCTGATACTTGTGGTGTAGTTGAGAAGGGACATCTTATGTTTTGAAACCTGAAAAAAAGTTTTAAGTTTTCTCCAAAACTACAAACTCAGTTTCAACTAACCCAATTATTTTCATACAGACAGACAGAAACATGGCTAGATAGATGGACAGATAGACAGATAAATAAATAATTATACTCCAACAGTACTACCATTGTCAGCTGTCAGAAGTTCCCGATATTCCTAAATATCCATCGTTAACTCAAAATAACATTCTATAAGAAAAGTGAAAAATACTTTTGTAATAGGTAACAACGAGAAATATCTATAGGATTAATAGTAGGGTTATTTACTACGCATGAATCTGTAAATAACGAAACACAGGATTTGTTTAACATATAGAAAGTGTAACAAACCATCAAAATTTAACAGTTACTTCTAAAAGTATAACATAATTTAACACCTAGTTCTAAAAGTGTAACATAATTTAACACTTAGTTTCAAAAGTGTAACATAACTTATCACTCAGTTTCAAAAATGTAACATAATTTAACACTTAGTTTCAAAAGTGTAACATAACTTATCACTCAGTTTCAAAAATGTAACATAATTTAACACCTAGTTCTAAAAGTGTAACATAAGTTAACACTTAGTTTCAAAAGTGTAGCATAATTTAACACCTAGTTCTAAAAGTGTAACATAATTTAACACTTAGTTTCAAAAGTGTAACATAATTTAACACTTAGTTCTAAAAGTGTAACATAATTTAACACCTAGTTCTAAAAGTGTAACATAACTTACCACTCAGTTTCAAAAGTGTAACATAATTTAACACCTAGTTCTAAAAGTGTAACATAAGTTAACACTTAGTTTCAAAAGTGTAACATAAGTTAACACTTAGTTTGTTCAAATTGAACCAGAACAGGTTCCCATCAAACATATTTATTTCATAATATACTTTCTTTATTGTAATACACATACTGTTTAGAGTCAAGAGATCAACATTTGTTTAATACTGTGACGTATTGAATATTTCTAACTCTCATATTAAAGCATTCACATTATTAACCACTTTAGTTAGTGTTAACTTTAGCATTGATTGGTTTGATAGTATCTATGTTTCTATACGTAATTTATCTCTATTCTGTACTATTAGCTGTGGAAATATTTCCATAACATTATTTGCCAAATTAGAGTACAGGTTGGTGTAATAAAACGTATTTTGGATTTAAAAAAACATAGAACCGTTCGGTTTTGTCATTCACTTAATATTCTGTGTTCGAAAAGCGTGAGTATAAGATCTCAACTTGATATCTAGATAGCATTTTTATTCCTTTCCATTACCAGTTTATGTTGGTATTTCCGAACCCTGCTAATCAATGAGATATATTTATTTAAATCTAGTTTTACAATACATGTATTGAACTGTTCTTTCTGCAACACGGACATAAATGTTCGAGAAGTTTTAACCTTTTAAAATCTAAACTTGTAAGTCAACAAATTTTGAACGGGCGATAAGCACCGTGGGCGATAGAAAAAGATAATTCTATCTAAACGACAGGGTTCGACTGTTCGAGACTGCTTTTCTGAGGGCGGAGTCAGACTGATTCCTAGTCGTTCATTCGTTTAGTTTCATCGTTGAAATCGACCAATCACACCTCTCGCCTCGCGTAGTCTGTTAAATTGGTACGTTATCCTCTTTTGACAAGTGACATGGCAATATGTCACCAGTAGTAGAGTAAAATTGGCCACTAAAGCTGAGATACAAATGTAAACGGTTATCATTTGACGAACAGAAATGTGGTTGGTTACTAACGAGGCATTTGTAAATTCTGTCCACTAAAGTCGTCATGCATGTTTAGCACGAGCCTATTACTGATGCTAATTATTAATAGTGGAAATATAATCCAACCATTTCGACATCAAAAACAAGTATAGTCTAAACGTAAACTACTTTATTTTACATTCTCGAGAAAGAGGGAGAAAAAGAAAAACACTTGTGAGAGAATCGCGTTTTGTCTGCCAAACTTACCAGTAGCATATAACCATGGATCCCGATGACTACAGAGAAAAGTCCTGCGTGTTAGAGTCTACAGTAAATAACGAAATTGCGAATAAACAGAAGCTTAGTGAAGAGAAGAAAACTACCATCGGTACCAAACTCAACCCGTTCTCTATTACAAGTATCTTAAACCGCGCGGATCCAGAAAAGAGCCCGTTCTCGGCTGTCTCTCACCGTTCGGAATCAAGTAAGGAGGCTTTTTCAAATGTCTTCTGTCCTGCTAATTCAATAAAAAGGCTACCAATGCCACTATTCAACGGAGAATCTTCATTAACAAGACTATACTATGATCCTGTGATCCAGTCTGTGATCCGGCCCGGCGTAGTGGCCTCGTTTCCAGGCCAACTGTCCAGAAAAAACAATTTTTCCTGGTACCCCTGGGTTACCAAAGACGTCACCTACGCCGTTAATTTATGTGACAGAGGTAAGGTAGAGAGAGAAAAAAAAAAGAACAACTCAGTTATCATATTATTTCTTGTCCTTAAATGTTGTGTAATCTTTGTCTACCTAATATTTACCTAGGTTGAGGGAAAAACTGTTTTCCCCTGACTGACGATCAAGGACGAGGTTAGTCATAAGGCTACAAAACGGTACGTGTTGCGGATTTTCAAATCTGATGTAAACATATTATCGGTAGGAATGTTGAACGTATTAACTTATAAGCTTTCTTAGAAACACATTAATATCAAGAGAGAAATGAGTAAATTAGAAGGTTACATATGCATATTTTAACGAGTCCTCGTGCGAAGTGTTGTTTTAGAAACATATTTTAGAAATAATAGACCGACTTTTCCATCTGGGAACGAGCACGTGAAGCAAATTCGTGTAGTTTTACTAATCATATAACATGTTAGGAGCTCGCGCTGTATAGAACGTGACTGACTAATAGGAAGAATATCTTCTTAGGATAGAACCAACAATGAAATAGTTGATAATTGAAAAATAAAAATCCCAATTGGAATTATTTCATAAAATATTATTTCTTGTTTGTTTTCGTAATACTATATTTATCTATCAGTCCACATTTATTTGACAAAATATCATATTTATTGCTTAGTATTTTGTTTGTTTGTAATTATGCACAAGGCTACACAATGGGCTATCTGTGCTCTGCCCATCACGGGTATCGAAACCCGGTTTCTAGCGTTGTAAGTCCGCAGAAATACCGCTGTGCTACTTGGGGGCTTGTATTTTGTATATTTTCACTTCGACACATGTAGAATTCTTTATACTGAATGATTTTAAAGCATGATTTGTTTAAACAGAGTTCGCAGGATACGCACAGTGCTATTAGTAGTAATTTTAGCATTTATTTAATTAGAAAAGTGTAATAAGGAATCCTGAGTTATAAAGCTTCGTTCTACTGTGATATTGGGGTATAAACTGTGGCCTAAAAGGTCTTTCAACTTCGTAGCAACTACTGACCCATCAAAGTATAAATTATTACAAATAGAATATTAGCACGTTTCGATCTATTGTCTAAAAGTCTTTGAAATGAACCGTAATTAGTATCATTATATTTGTCTGCCTATATACTTGATTATCTATCCACGCACATGCATAACTATTTACACATAAACACGTCTAATTATTTACATTACCAAGTGTTCCCGTTAATTGATACCATAAAAACGCGCAAGATCGCGTATCCAAACTTTATTTATATTCATTTGTATACAGTTTACTAATTTATTAATCATACATTTTATTATCGTATTTATTCTTTACTGATTCACATTTCTTTAATTTACTGTAAGTTGCCCCAACATACAACTGTTAATCTCCACCATCCTACTTCAGTTACCTTAGTTTTCCCACAAGTTAATCCTTGCTTGTTATTACTAACGAAATGCTACAAAATGGGCTATCTGTGCTCTGCAAACAGCAGGTATCGAATCCCGATTTTTAGGGTTATAAGCCAAAGAAAAGAACACTGAAAACCGGATTCATAACGAAGAGAAACAGGAATAAAGAAAACTTTGTTCTGCGGAGTATGTGTCGTTGTTAACAGTTATAGATACACATTATTAGACATTAATCAACAAACCGATTAGTGTCCATCTGTGGTTATTAGAGTTATTAAAACTATAACGAACGCTTTTGTTCTTTTATGTAGAGGTTGACGTCATTTGGATCGACGGTCTGATGCATATACAATAAACCAAAGGATGTTTGAAACGTTATGTAAATGTCATTTTATTATTTTACAAGCTAGTCACCTGCTTTACGTAACTTACACCTATCCTATTAACAATGTTGTTTTGTTGGTTGCATATACAATAAACCAATGGATGTTTGAAACGTTATGGAAATGTCCTTTTATTATTTCACAAGCTAGTCACCTGCTTTACGTAACTTACACCTATCCTATTAACAATGTTGTTTTGTTGGTTGCACGTGTTTACATAAAATGTTTTGCATGAAAATACTTGTTACAAATCTAACAATTGTTTTTATCACAGTTCCTCAAAAGTGTTGAACTTATTGTCTTATTACAGTTCCAGACTCTTGTAACAGTTGTGTTATTTGTTTTAGTCGCAGTTCCACAGAACTGATGAAGTTATTATCTTATTACAACTCCAGCCTCTTGTCACAAGTGTAATATTTGTTCTTGTTGCAGTTTCTAAGAAGTGTCAAAGCTATCGTTCTCAGTGCAGTTCCTTGTTCTTGGCAAAAGTGTAATATTTGTTCTTGTTGCAGTTTCTCGTAACTGATAAGATTATTGTTCTTACTGTACATAGATATATAGTTCTTGTCAAAAGTGAGTTCGTAACGCAGTTCTTGACTATAGTCTATACGTTGTGTAGGAGTAACAATCGTTTGTATTATATTGTTGTGATATTAATGATTTAAAACAACAAGATTTTCATAGCTAGAACATTTAATTTAGGTACTACCAAGAGAGATTCTGAGTTTTCCAAGTCGATTGGCAAAGATCAATGGTATTACCAAATTGCCCTCCGTTGGTGAAAACGCTTGAGTTTATATCGACAAAAATCTGGGTTTGATACCCGTAATAGCCACAGCGCTTTAAAAACACACACCAAATTCAGCCTTTGTTGAAGAATGAAGTGACAACCTAAGCTTTATAGCAATATAGACGCTGTAGCTTAGTTCATTAAAACACCATTCTGATAAGAAGAGTCGCGGGTTCGAATTCTCCCCCGTTTTAGTTTTAACTTCTTTTGAAGAACGTTGTATAATAGTTTGTCCCTCTGTGATTTTCGTTGCAATTCCTGATATTTTGATCAGGGTAATGTCTGTTAGTATCGCAGCTCTTATCTCTTCTTGTGAGAACTTCAGCCACTTCTCAAACTTTTGTTATTTGTTCATATCATATTCTCCGACCCATCTCACACGTCATGTCCGATGGTATAGCGCTTCCTGACACTTCCCACAAATGTAATATACACTTGTATCACAGTTCTTTACTTTTACAGACAACTGTTCGTATCACACTGTCACAGATGTAATATTTGTTGATATTACAGTTTCTGACTCATTACATATATAAGCATTATTTTGTTCATATCACAGTTCCTGACGCTTGTCACAGTTGTCATAACTTTGGTTACTTGTATCAATCATTACGTGAGTTGTTATTTTTTGAAAGTATAAAAACAAATCCTGTTGATATAGAAATCCTTTCAGGGACCAGATTAGAACGTCCACTATAAAGTCGGGAAACAAAAGTTAAAAGTTAATTCCGTAATAGATAGTTAAGGCACAATATAGCTTATAATATATCTAAGACAGTGATTCCCAACCTGGGGTCCGCGTAGGTAATACCATCTCATTAAACAAGTAAGTTTTTTAATACTGATGTTCTTTTTAATTGCACACCCAGTTATATATGTCTTTTATTTGATAGTGAAAAGTGGGAGAACGAGTTAATTATCAGTTAATAAAAACAGTTTGTTGGGTAGGTGGAATCTTTCAAAAAACATAGGATCTGTAGGGGGGAAAATGATAATAAAAGGGGGTTCTTGGTGGAGCAAAGGTTGGGAACCACTGACCTAGGACGATGCGAAGAAAATTTCAATTTCGTGTACCTTGTTCTTTTTGTGAACTAAAAACTTATACGAGTTTTACAACATTAAAGGTGCGAATGGTTGAAAATAACAAGTAAAAGGAGATAATAATATATTGAAAAACAGTGATTTTATAAGCATGATGAAGTGGTTTACTTTGGGGTAGCATAGCATGTGTTTCGACTGAGCATTGATCTGTCGAAACATTTAGTTAGTCTCCCCAAAAATAAGCCACTATTATATACTATTATAT